CAGTGGTCTGTCTCTGGGTCAGGGTTGTTCAAAGCACCTAGACCTACTTAGCTGTCCTCGAGCTTGTGATCTCCCCTCGGCATCTCCCACCATCCAGGATGTCCATAGGGACTCCAGCGAAAAAATCAGGTCTTGTTCAGTTTCCTTCCCTCCTGGATGTTGGACTCGGAGGTGATTTTTTTTCTTCTCAAGAAGGTGGTGTGACCCTGCTCTTCAGGCACTGATTTTGGCCAGTGGGTAAAGTTGATGCCCCCCAGCTAGCACAGAAGCATAGCACCAGATCCCCTTAGAGGCACTGGTGGCACCAGCCTGCTCCTGTCCAGGAGCTATACGCAAAGTTCCTCCACAGACATTGCAGGTCCAGAGCTTTGGAGAGCATCTGCCTGCCCCCAGCTCAGCCATGGGTGGCTTTGCTCCGGCGTCGGAGGGCTGGCACCTCCGAGGAAGGGCACGTGGGCTGTGCGTGGGCAGGCAGAATGGGTTGCATGTGTGCTGGGGGATTAGTCCCGTTGTCTGCAAAAGCCCAGGGCCGGGAGGGATCCCTGTGATTATTTTCATCTGACCTGCACTGAGCAGTCATCGGTTTTTCTGAAGGGAGTCATGCTGTGAATGAGAGGTGGGGACAGCATCCAAGCTAGAGTTGGCCCACCCCCAGGTAATGGACCACCTACCACTTTGGCTTTGAGGATGGTTTTTAGGCTAGCGTAAGAAGCCCACAAACTCCCAACGGGGTCTCCATGGGGCAGCAGAGAGCGTGGACCACAGTGGGGGACAGTTTCCTTTGGGAAGTCATCTGGTCTCTCCGCAAAGCTCAGCAGCTGCTGAGCTCACCAGAAACCAAGGAATGTTTTCATAAAGGGGGGTTAAGCTTTCAAAGCTTGTTTTCCTTCTGAGGGGTAATGTAACTTACCCTTTCATTTAGAGATTCCCAGAAAATCATCCATCCCAAAATAATATCCCTCGTTCGGATGAGGCAGAGCATGAACTCGGGCTGGGTCTGTGTCCCCAGGCAAGCACCCTGCCCACAAATTGCTGGTTACTCGCTCGGCGTCTCATTCTGCACGAAAACGGCAGGAACTGAGCTTTCCCCACAAGGAAAAGCCAAATCTTCTCTGTCTCCATCGGACACGTCTGCCACCCTGACAGAACATCTGAAAACACTTTGTCTCCTAGGTCTGGCTTCAGCCCCTCTGTGAGTGACCCTCTCTGATGGCAGCAAAGTCGTGCCCTGCCCAGAAGCTGAGCTCTCCCCGTCCTGCCAGGAGCTAATGAGGATGGAGAAGATCAGTACTGGTGGACTGGGAAGAGGACAAGCAGGGTCCTGTGGGGTCCAGAAGATTAGAGAGGCTAGAGGGGAGACACAGAACACCCTGTCCCCATCCTAGAGATCCCGTCTTGCCATGGGAGACCTAAGAAGCCCAGGGTGCTCAGCGCACCGCACAGTTCATGACTGATTGGATTGCAGTCTTGAAATAGCAAAGGACTTCTTGGTCAAGAAGCACAGAAACAGAATCACAGAATCACAGAATCACAGAATCACAGAATCACAGAATCACAGAATCACAGAATCACAGAATCACAGAACGGTAGGGGTTGGAAGGGACCTCTGTGGGTCATCTGGTCCAACCCTCCTGCCGAAGCAGGGTCACCTACAGCAGGCTGCACAGGAACTTGTCCAGGCAGGGCTGGAATATCTCCAGAGAAGGAGACTCCACAGCCTCCCTGGGCAGCCTATTCTAGTGCTCCGTCACCCTCAGAGGGAAGAAGTTCTTCCTCATGTTCAGACGGAACTTCCTGTGCCTCAGTTTGTGCCCGTTGCCCCTTGTCCTGTCACTGGGCACCACTGAACAGAGTCTGGCCCCGTCCTCCTGACATCCACCCTTCAGATATTTGTAGGCATTTATTAGGTCCCCTCGCAGCCTTCTCTTCTTCAGGCTGAACAAGCCCAGATCCCTCAGCCTCTCCTCGTAGGGGACCTAACGGTAGAAGCAGCAATAACTGGAAGCTGTAACCAACCTCTTCCAAAGTGAGAAATAAAAAACAAAAACCTGCCTTTAACAGTGGGTATTCGCTACTGAGAAAAACTGTTGGAGAGATGGGGGTTCTCCAGTTCGTGGGGCAGAAACTGCAGCGTGGATGCTTTCTGCAGGAAGGAGTTCAACAAACCAAAGCTTTTAGGTTCAGTTTAGCCGCGGACACCAGTCGGCTGCAGTGTGCGGGGGGTGAGACGATGTGCAGAGCACTGCTCTGCTCTGGCCAGCCATGGAGGGACCTCTGGGCCTCCTTCCTGGGGCCGCGGGAGAAACTGGAGGTGTTTGCAGCCCAGCAGTCAATGTTTGCGTTGGCTGGAAGTCACGAGAGCC